TCCAATATGCAAGTTTCATTTCCAGCAAACAATTGTGCAGAAAAGAAGTCATCCATCATGTATTTAAATGGGGCTGCACATTGCCTCTTTTTATTTTTTGACGTCTAAAAAGCTTCAGTTGAGTTTTATAGCCAGATCGTGTGACTTATACTGTTCGCCTGTTATGACACTTGGCTTTATTCCATTCTTACTGCTGAGCATGCAGTATTAAAAGGGTCAGGGACACAAGATTCCAAGCGCCAGACATACTGTGCTAACATTTATGAAAAATTAATTTGATAAACAGTAATCACTGTAACAATCATGCTTAACGGCAATTAAATAAAATAGGTTAAATCGTGCTCTACACCCTGAAAGGTCAAGGGAGTCCCTTGTGGTAGCACCTGTTTGCCTGAGTGTTTAATGAAAGCTTATGAACATGTGACTGGTGGCCCATGAAACTCTATATGATGATCTTAGCAGGCAAAAGTGCTTATAATGCAGCAATATCAAGGGAAATCTAGTATTACAAAGCAATGAACAAGTGAGACATACAGTAGCCACAATGGATAAAACATGACTGAGCAGTGATATGGTACACTAGCCAGTGTTTTCACTTATAGCACTTACACTGTTTAAAACAAGTAAAACATGATATCCCTGCATCTGGTGCAGTATGGGCTATCTTTGATATACAGGGTGCTAATAGTCAAAGTTGATGTTAAAACACATTTGAGCATATTTTTGCCCATTGCCTTGAATCTAATACACTTTTGCACATTCTTTGTGCATGCGAGTGTGTAAATGCTTCCCTGCATTTTCCTTGCGAGGCTGTCTGTCAGCACTGGCGTCTCCTTAAATCACTCCTGGATATTCGCACAATGGCATCACTGTATGTCCTATCATGTGCCGCGATTATCAGATGTCAGTCACCGTGTGTTTTTGTTTGTGTATGTGCGAATGTGCTTCTTCCCCATTCAATAAAAAAAGTCCCATTGTGCTACAGCAGCACGCCTAGTTCCGTCATGCTTCAGGGGAGAAGGCAAGATGGGGCGAATCAGGGGTGGTATGTCTATAGGCAGGGGAAGGCGTTCGCTGAAACTACATACGTCAATAAAAGGAAATGGCAGCAAACAGTGCATGTTGCTGTGATCATCATATGCTGATGAGAAGCTGAAATCAGCAGACGCTGGGGAAAAAAGACATACTGCATTTGCAGAGAATGTTTGTGGCAATAATGGGCTTTCTTTGCCTATGAAACAGGTTGGATTTAAAAACATCTGTTTGAGACAAATGTGCTATTTGCCTGATTTTGATGCAGAGGACAAATTTGTTTAGACCAAGCTCTGCTTTTCATCCTAAGGTCAGAGAAATGGCTATTGTGTTAAAGGGCTGCAGTGGAGTACGCTTGCCTGCTGCAGTATGTTGCCGAAGCAGCATGTAGCCGCAGTATTATCTGTGTATGTGTGCCTTCTAGGGAGGGAGAGCAAGGGGAGGGGTGCAGATGTAGATGGACAGAGAGAGCAAAAGAAGAAGAGAGCGTGAATGGTGGTGGTGGTGGGGGGGGGTTACAAAATGAGGGAATGCATGACAGGAAGCAGACAAAGACATTAGGGGAGAGAGCGAAAAGGGGACACAGCTACAGGAAAGATAGACAGACAGTGAGAGAGAGAGAGAAAAGTATGAAGAGGAGGAAGACAGGAACCCGCTGTGTTGCAGAGGAGACTTTCACACCCATTTTAGAATGCAGTTAGTGCTTGCTAGCTTTGTCCGAAGCACCTTCCTACTGTATCCGATGTCTACAGTCAGGTGCTGGAGGTGCCAGCATGCCAACACAGCTGGAACCTGCTTTATCAATGTGAAGGGAAATGCAATCAGTAGAAATATCTGCCGTCATAGCAACTTGCACAGACAGAAAGGGTAAGCTAACGATCGTAGATGATCAAGTAGCTCGGCACTGGAGCATCACTCTAACCCTCACAGTGAGAGAGGATGTAGCACATGGCTGTGCGTGCTTGCTGTCTGTTCTGGTAAGGCAGACTTTGGGAAACCATCACTCAGCTCCACCACATGGTGAATACAGGCCACCACAAGCTCAGCAGCTCACACAGACTCCTGCACTGTGCCAGCCATTGATTTGACTCATTGTTTGTGTGAGGTTTAGGGCGGAAGTAATTTTTGATAACGTTATTTTTAAGTTATTTATTTGTTTATTTTTTCCTTAATTTTGTGGGGATCTTTCTGCATTGCTATTTTTTTAAATGCAGAAAACTCATTCTCCTTTGCATTTGTTTTTTTTGAAAACAAGAAGTGCCAGACAAACCTGACACATAGGCCTTATGTATGCTTTTACAGGAGTTGCCTAAACATTCCTTAACTAAAAGCGATGGCTCGATGTATTGTAAAGGAGTATCTAGAAATGAAGAATCATTGCCACTTGCCATTAAAAGCAAAAACATGGAAACCCTTATTATATTATTGATACTACTCAGCCCAGCCAATCCACATCAATATTTGTGTAGACAAATGCGACACCCTTGTAACTTGAGATTGTGGATCATGGTGTGTAAATTGCCATGGGCGGGAAAAAAGAACCAGTGTGTTCGAAGCTGAACTTGAAGTCAAATTGAATCCCTCATGCATTTTAAAGCACGCAGCACATTGTGGCTTCGCACCAGCAATGCAGTTTGCAAATAACATTGAATGATTGGACCTGTATGCGGATTTTACTCATGTCTCTTTGTTTGACCACTGGAAGAGAAACACACACTGTCAGCCGATTAAGTGCCCATTACTGTATAATTATTCAGCACAGATGGTAGGATGTTCTAGCTGTTGAGTTGAATGTTTAAGTTGCTTGTTATCAATGTTTCCGCCTTAAGGCTCATTTGAAACTCTCTCCTTCTCTGCAGCTGCAGTTTCGCTGAAACATGAGATCAATCAGTGGAAGAATTTTGACATTCTTTTCTAAATCCACAATATTTCCCTCTGTCCCTCTGTGTTTTATTGTTTATATTTTGCCAATGCTGGCATTGCACCAGAATGCATAACAGTACACAGCGTGTGTGTGTGTGTGTGTGTGTGTGTGTGTTTCTCTGAAATATACATGTCCTTTTAGCAGTTTCTGTAACAATTGCTGCCTTTTCCAAAGTGGTGTTTTCAGCCTTATGCCCATCCCCCTATGTGTAGAGGACCAGGGACCATTTGTTGTCCATGTGGTCTGACCTCTACCCTGTAATCAGTCTGGCATGGTAAGACCTACTGGCCTTCTGCAAAACGGTGTAGTATATCATTGACTGTTTTCCATAAGGCCAGTGTGAAGGAGCAACACTCGTCCAAGTTTGCTTGGCTCCACGTGGCTTCAGATTAAGGCCTTCCATTATCCTACAGGCTGCTGTGTTGTGATAAGCGCTTGTGAGGCAGCCATGTGTCTGCAGGCTGCAGGTCACATCCTTGGGGGGTGCTGTGCACAGCTCCACTGAGAGAGTGTGTGAGCGTCCAGGAATGCGTTGATGGAAATCACAGCTGAAAATATGATTGCTCCAACCTCAGCAGTCATGCTGGGGCCCACCAGCAACAGTTTCGCGCATGCATGCACGCAAGTAAGCCCACACATACATGCATACATACACGTACACATGTGCACACACCCGTACATGTTTTCACTCCCCTCACAAAACTAATGCTGAACTAACCAAAAATTGCCTCATAATGTTTACAACACAGTGGACAAAACAACACTTTAGCATCTGTGAAACACCATGGCGCACTCAATTAGTTGAGATATGTTTCTGGATTGAGTCTTTGCTTTAAGTAGTATATTCTATCACATCCCTCAAATGCTGGATCTGACATGAGGCCACTGCAGGAAGCTGAATTCATGTTCAATGCATTGCATGTCATTCAGCTTAGGAAAGCCTATTAATTTTATAATATGTGTTGATGCAAACTATTAACCCATAAAAGGATGGTTCTGATTAGTAGTGATTTGGCACTTAAGTGTCTCTCTATTGAGAAACCTAATGAATGGCAGAAAACCAGAACAACATTTTGCATTTGTGCTGCACAAACTGCATTTGCCTTTGCAGCTAAAAAGAGTCTATAACCATGCATTTCATTCTTTGAAACCCAGCTCAGCTCTAAAAGCAGATGTGTTACACTGCAAGCATCCTGGGCCTAAATTTTAAGTAAAAACAAAATATTTTATTGTTATGATACATTAAACCAGTTACATTCTAATGTAATAAATTTTAGTAGTTTTGGATAGTAAAAAAAGGCTTTTAGAGACAATAATTGTCACTTGTCATTTTAGTCTATAGACAGGTGAAATCATGTTTAATGTCCAATAGTCGGGCTCATTCCTCATACTTGCTGAAGATAGTTGGGGACACAAGAGACACAAGAGAAAAAGTATCACCAGATGTTATATAACACGTTGACTCATGTTTTGTGCAGTATGATTCAGTAATATTTTAGCCTGGGAATGGAAGGCAATTATTTTAATGTTTTTTTAGTTCACGTTAAATGTTACCGAGAACATGACTTAACACAAATAAACATACACTTGAAAAATATCTCCCACATCTTTATTAGTTTTCTTCCAGTAAGCTTTCATATCTATCCTACGTAAGTGAAACATTACAGTAAATGCTACTAGATAAACAACAACTTCCTTCACTCCTTCTATGTCGCTGTCTAGTAAAAACAAAACTTACTCACTCTCACTACGTAAGCAACAAGATAAACTCATCTCTAATGACGCTAAAGGATGTTAGTTGTGGTCTTTGCTGAATGTGGAGTATCTGTACAATAGTCAATTCTATTGATTTGTGTGGGTAAACAACAGCAGCAGCCATGTCTGAGAAGAACCGGCCTCCACATCTGTCAAGCATTCTGTATTTACTGGTCACTGGAGAACAGCCTGTCAGGTTCTGCGAATCAAGCCACTGTGCTATTAGTCATGCCCACTTTTTCAAAATTATCCTCAGTCCTGGGGTCTAGACAGGCATTCCTCCAAGGTGGGTGTCTCATTGCACCAGAATCTCAGGTTTTGACAGTTGGAAGGTTTGACCGCAAAATCAGGATCCAATTTTTGCTCTGTGGTGCTAATAGGATGTTGTAATCTGAAAGACACACAAAGCACAAAAACAAATTGTTGTCAGCACAGACACTGAGGTTTTGAAATGTGTGTGCCATTTAAAATGAACAATGATGCAAGAAATTGATCCTGATCTTAGTCCGTGTGGTATTCATAACAGCCTACAAGCCAGTTTACAAAAGAATTCCAGAGATGTAGAAACAAATCAAAATCTAATCTGTTTTTGAAAAAATATGTTCATGTGTACATCACCTTCCCACAGCACTGACAAGAAAATGATGTTGAAAATAACCTCAATAAGTAAAAGGTCTAAATGCCAAAACAATAATATCTAAAAAAAAAATAAAAAAATAAATCCAATCCTGACCATAGAAAATCAGCAGTTTAAATTTTATTCAATTATTTTCATAGTCCGTGCTAAAATGTTATCAACTGAAACAAGAGCGTTTGTTATTCTGACCGACCTCACGTCTTACGTCATGACAGCTGGAGCATGTCAGAGTTTAGACCTTGTTTTGAAGTTCACCCACAATAATGTTTAGTTCCAGAGGCAGCCGCAAAATCGTCACTTAACCCACACTGCTTGTTGTTTTTGTTTACTGTTAGGGTCTTTCTGTATTAGTGGGCAGCATCCGGTACAGTGAGAAAGATCCAGGGTAAATAGAAGAGTTTATGTCATGAGCGGATGAACACCCACAGCATTGTAAGCACACATCATGCGGTTGTACAGAATCACTGAGCCAACAGGGCACGGCATGTGATGTTACAAATGGGTTTCATGTATACATACAGTACAGGACTGAGGGAGAATTGAACCCTATGATTTATCATCCAAAGGAATAATAAATCAAAGGAACATACTAATTTATAATGAATACCAGGCAACTTCTATGAGGCTCAGAAATTCCCACATGATATAGCAATTAGGTTGTTGCATGCTTGTAATGCCTGTAAGGAAAGAGACACCACCGTGTTTTGGCTGCTCTTTTGGCATCTAGGTGTACATATTTTCATAAACACTTATGTCTGGGCATGTGTGTTTTGATTATGCGTGTATTATTGTGTAATTATATTTGGTAACACTTCATATGTATAACCTACAAGGCACGTTGGTAAGGTTTGTATCAGTTACAGATCCTGACGTAGCAACGGGAGCACAGTTTATTGAGCAGTCCTTCAACTCCAACAACCTCAAGTTAATGTGATAGAAGATAAGTAATGTTAGGTGGCTGACACATAAAACACAAATCAGCTCCCTAATATGTCAGTAATTCATCGCTTTTTGACAAGGGCTATGCATGGTATGAGTTACTGGCTTTGACATGCACTGTATGTGCTAATGTGTAAGAGAAGAGGCAGCTGTTGAATCCTGTCCTTATCAGAATCAGAGAAAAATAAGTAAAAATATATCAAATAAAATACTTTTTCTCAGAGTGTCATTATGTTTTGCTTGCTCGCTTCATTCAAATAATCCCGTCGATCCAATGTGATAAGTGGGCGCCCTCAATGAAATCTTTGCAAAAACAACTAAGTTATTGAAAATCAAAACACTTCTCATTTCTTAGGATATCCCATAATCTCACTGTGTTATGTGGGACAGTTAAGCCCTCAGTGTGAATGAGTGAGGATATTGCTATGTGTGTGGAAGGAAGCAGCTGTTACACTTGAAGAGCTGAGTGATGTGAGCAGGAGGTGACATGAGTTGTTTTTTTTTTTTTTTGCTGTATGCAGAGCTTTGTTAACTCTTCCACGGCCCGGGACCAAACTTAACTGAGACTTCATTTAACAGCATAATAAAAGATTCCCTTTCAGGCCCCCTCAGCTGTCCTGGTGGTCTTTCCCTGATGGTGACCCCCAATTGTGGGTGACTGTACAGGACTCTGTTTTAACTTGCCAAATAACTAACAGGCACTGTGGTGTTTGTTAATACTTTCAAAGAGGAAAAAATAGTGGCTAAAAATGATTCATTGCGTCATAAACACTTGCTTGTACTGAGTCAGTTATAACTTGCGGTTGCTCGGGAGTCCAGTGAACAGAGCCAGCACACTGAAAACTGGTCTCTGAGTAAACTATTGTTCACTCACATCAAACAAAACCCCTGTTCCTCCTGTTGTTTAGCATTTTTCAGAATTGGACATGAGCAATCCTGGGTGTTAAAGTTTTCTTTGAGCACAAGAGGAACATATACTTACCATTCCATTGCTTAAAGCTCAGGGGCGGAGTACTATAGTTTGGTTGCCACAGCTGTCTCTCATCCTAAACCTCCCATTACTCCATCACACTCCTTCCTTTTGTTGGTGATTTTGCAACTGTATTCATCACGTCATGTTCGTCCTCCGTCAGCACCGTGGAAGCCATTTCCTTTTTAGTGTGTAGGTGGGAACTGTGGATGGAATAGGCCTCACTTTAAACACTTATACACTCACAGTGAACTCATCCTTTCGTATACAGATGGCCTGCATCCTAACAAAACAGCAGTGCTCCATTGCCCATTTTCAGGACGTAGAGCCAGTGTGGGTGGTGTGTGTGTATATGAGTGAAGGAGGCCTGCATACAAGCAGGCTGTGTGTTTTCAGCTTTCGGGGAATAGCAGAGGGGAAACCTTTAGTCCTAGCAGCTGGCCACTACTGTAGCTGTGAGCATAAGACCCAAATATGGAGCTGTGGTATATGTCCTCTGTATCTGGTACACAGTTGCAAAGTCTGCCTTTCCTCAGAAATGAGGGCCAGCTATTGAAGATGAAGGGCAATGGAGAGAGGTGGATGCGGCTGATTTGGTCCTTTTAAAGTGATAATTATCTAGAACAATTTTGTTACACTAATACATGATAATATGTTGAAAAAAACTTTGCAATATATAGTTGTTAATGAAGTTTGTCTTTCTTGCCCTAGTGGCTCTTACTGCTCATTAAAACAAAGAAAGAGTTTTTCTTCTTTCTTTTTCCAGCTGCTTTTGCTGCTTCTAGTGCTAACTTTTATATCCTGTTGACGAATCCAAGTTGTAGTTGGAAGTAGACAAGCTGCCATTACTGCTGTGATATAAACTGGCTTAATCTCCTGAGTGTTATGTCATCTAAGTTACTGGACCCAAACGCAAGACTCAACACAGTAATAACAGTAAAACACAATTTATTGTGAACAGTGTGAAGGAAGTTACTTGATGAGAGAAGCTGTATGGCTGAGAGCAAGGCACGCTAAGTGGAATGATCCTGGTGCTGGTAGTGCGAAGGCATGGGGAAAGATAGGAGAGGAAATAAACATGAACCAACAGGCTCAAGAACAGCAACACAAAGAAACTAAGTAAACTGAAAACTTGGCTGTAGCATAGTTACCGCACTGGTGAATGAAACGATCTGGCAAAACTGGAGTGGAGAGCTGGGGGAAGATGTGTTGCAGAGTCTGATTAGTGGAATAAGTCTCAGGTGTGCAGGAGGCGGGTAACCACCGAGCAGCCAAGGAGAACCAATCCCAGAGGGACACACACATGAACAAACAAAAAACTTGGGGGGGATAACGACAGGAAAACACAGGGAAAGAAAAAGAGGTAGGGCCGAACCATGATAGTACCTCCCACTAAATGGGAGCCTGCTGGCAACCTACAAGGCTTCTCCGGGTAGGCTTGATGAAAGTCCCTCAATGCTGGGGTTCCATAATAAAAGAGTGAGGGAACTCCTGTCCTCCAGGCCATGTCCATCCCAATCTACCAAGTACTGGAGTCCTCTTCCCCAGCAGTACACATCCAGAAGCCGCTGGACAGTGTAGATCTTGATGATCTGGGCAGGTTCAGGGGAGTCGGAAGGAGGGCACAAATAGCAGAAACACACTGGCTTAAGCTGTGGAAAGTGGGATGAATTTTTATTGACTGTGGTAGCTTTAGCCTGACTGCTGTTGGATTGATGACCTGTTCCTCTACTTATGTTCCAATATACTGAGGGGACAACTTTTGTCAATCAGTCTAGAGTGGAATATTTCTGAAGATAACCAAACTTTCCGACCTGTTGGATGACAGTAGCAATCCACCAGTTGTGATCGATGGAACGGAACCCAAGGGATGCCTCAAAAGGAGTCAATCCACTACGATGAGTATTACTGTGTTACCACAAAATCCAGAGATGTATGAGACCAGGGACATCTTGGAACAGTGAGAGGATGGAGTAGTCCAGCAGGTGGACAATGCAAAGGCTTTGCATGGGTACCAGCCTCCACAGAAGGCCCTCTGAGGAGACAGAGTTCGACCTATACCTGGATCACAGGAAAACCGGAAAGACTGCACCCACTGACGGACCAAAGCACATCAGATACAAAGGGATAGTTGGGAGGTCTATTGCCAGGATCTGGCTCAGTCTGCTGAGCCTCCCTCACTTCGGACTCGATTTCCCAGGTCACTGCAGCCACCACGCACGTGGATGGTAGAATGGTGTCTGGAGTAGCTGGAGGACAGGGCATTGTGATTAATGTTCTTTGAACCAGGACGCTAAGTGAGGGTAAAATTAAAGGTAGGGAGTCTGGCTCGTGCTGGTAGTGGATATGGCATGGGGGATAGTGGAGCAGGCAGCTGATCAGATCCATGTGTCTGCCATGTTGGATAGCAAGATAGTTCTAAAGTGAAGCAGGAGATTTTCTTAGCACAAGGAAACAAACATGAATTAACAGGTTCAAGGTCTAACACAAAGAAACTGAGCAAACTGAGAACTTAACCATAGTGTAGTTACCGCACTAGTGAACGGAACGATGTGGGGAACACTGGAGTGTATACTGCTGTCTGATTAGTGGAATGAGTCTCAGGTGTGCAGGAGGTGTGTAACCTCCGAGCTGCCAAGGAGCGCCACGCCCAGACAGACACACGCACAGGAGCAACGGAGAGAAACAAACCAGGAAAACAAACAAGAAAGTAGAGATACAGCCGAGCCATGACTATAAGCCCCAGAAGAAAAAAGGTTTTAATATTTAGATTTAGAGGATATAAGAAACGTATCACAAAGATTTTTTCTCAAAATTTTTATTTTAATTTTTTTTAATGACATTTTGTATTGGACATTGGGTCAGTCTTTTCCACAAAAAGCACATTATAAGGCATGATTTGGTAATGATAAAATAATACAATTACTTTTTAATTCTCTCTCATTTGATAACACATTTTAAAACCCGATCGACTGCCTGGCTATCTTCCTCCTCATCTGCTGACAGCTTAATGTCTGAATCTCCCTCAATATTTTATAACAAATCTGTCCTGCCTCACACAGTGCTCTGATTCCTTTCATATGAAACACTGTTGTCCCACTGTCCCCCACAAAAGACATGGATTAAAAGGTGTATTTTAAGGCTTTAAATTAACATACACCTTTAAAATCTTAGCCGTGTAACCCCATAATAATAGAACACTCATAAATAAAAAAACATCATTATGAAGAACAGAAACAATACATCTTTATAAATTTGATCACTTAACCCCCTTACTGCTTACTCTTGAAAAGAAAAAAAATGTGCTTTGTTGGCAGCACCCCCATGAGTGTTAATCACAAGAAAGCCCAGGATGTGCTTTTCACAGTTCATTAGGACTCAAATAAACTGCATGCATAATGTAAATATGGGCCTCAGTGTCATGTCTCATACAGAGGACAAATATGAATTGCTGTGTCTATATATAACACTGTAACGGTTTCTCCTGTTAGTACATGTTGACAATATAGTCATTAAATGCCATTAAAATAAATGTTGTAATCCAGAAAACCTAAACTTTTCAATGAAATGTTGGCCGCTACCCTGCCTATGTCTTGCTAGCTTAGTGCGACATTTCCTGACCGAAATTCTACTTTTACAATGTCATGTGTTATACAATGCATTTCTTAATTAGATACTCCTCACAGCTCCTTTACATCCAGACTGTGGAGGTCGGATACCCAATATCAGACTTGCGCAGAGAGAGTGAATAACTTTCCCAGACTACCTTCATCTGTCGGAGGGGACAACCTCAGATTGTTCTTAACCCAAACATCTCTGCTTTCACTGTAAATGTGTTCAGTTGACACAAAAGGACAAATCTATATGATTCATCCACATGAATCCGGCAACTGCTTTGAGCACAGCCATCATCTATTCAGTCAGACTATGCATTTTGTGAATTTCATATCAGCAACAATAAATCCTTAACCATCATCTGAGCTGCATCAGCTGAGCAATGGTGTTTAAAACATCTTGCTAGGGGCACTTTAGAAACAGATGCTGAAGGAACAGAAGAGTGTGTTTTCATAGATTATTCCTCCTGGTCCTCAGGTTCAATTGTGTCACCTTCAAGTCACAAAACTCCAACCTTTACCACTGGTGTTTCTGTCTGTCAGGTGAGTTTAGAGAAGTCAGGTTGAGTGGCTCTAAATTGGAACATATGTCCCAGAAACATGTGGTGGATTTCCCTTTTACTAGACTGATTCAGATATTTGAATCTTTGGCAGATGAGTGTTATTTATTTCAGAGCATATGTCTCTGCAGGCGTAAATTGACACACCATGTACCAAGTGTCATTGAAGGTTTTCTGCGGAGGCGTCCCCTTGCTCCTCCCTACACTGTGACTGTAGTGGCCATACCTCCCAGTTTGGAAAGACACAAGCACGAGGATGCAGTAAACAACAGTTTCTCAGGTCAGAGCGGGAAAATGAAAGCAACAGGCGTCCTCACACTCAAAACAAGGAAGCAACGGCTGTGGGATCGGCCCGCTGAGCCTAGGGCGCTTTTGAAAGGACAGAGCAGGGAGCAGCCCTGTGTCACCATATGTCACTGGATTGCCAACTGCACACATTCTGGTGCCGGCCAGCAGCCATACCAGCGCCCGTTTATGCACACGCACCATACCCTGCCCTTCCTAAGTGCACTTCGCTTCTTTGCAGTGCATGAGCAGCTGTTGTGCAATCACATACTGGGCTGCTCTTTGATTTCACTTCAGTGCTGAGACTATTGAGTCAGGCAAGACCAGGCATATCAGCTATGTGACTGGAAAATGGTAATAGGAGACAAGAATATAAAAGAAGACACACTGGTTGTGGCAGTGGCAATCTTGCTGAAGAGTGGGTGGTAGATTAATGCCCCTGGCAGGCTCCATTTTGTTCATTTCTAAACATTCCTGCCTTCATACTGAAGGTGTTTGAATTGTGGATATTTTTCTATTGAAAAAAAGCTTTAAGTGCACTTTAATTCATAATGGGCCCTTTCGTGCGTCCTACCTACAGTAAATAGTAATTTAATTCCTCTTTGGGTATTTGACATGAAATCTCTTGCTCATTTTGAACTCTGTACAAAATACTGGAAGACACAGATGCTGGATATTGCCACCGATTGGGTGTGCCTATACTTTATGTGTGGAAGAAGGTTCGTGCTTGTTTTTTGTTGGCTTTGGCAAGCTGAAATATTTTCCAACTTAAGATCCTGTCAACAAACCTTCTTTTCTCCCTCCTCTTCCCTGAATTACTCCTGTAACCATCTCTCTCTCTTTTTTGCCTTTCTTCTTATTTGTTTCTGTTCTTTTTTTTTCTTTCTGTCTTTCATTGCTGCTTAATTTGTCCGGACTTGAGCTCATGTCAAAATATGTTGTGGTTCTAGATCTTAAAATGCAAAATTCAAATAACAAAGGATCAATCTTTCATAAATGCAAATTTGTTCATGTAGCAGGTTCTCTTGTTGTGAATGCATTGTCTGCAAGCAAGTTCCTGACATCTATCTCTATCATTATTGGTGTAATTAATCTCTGGCTCCGCTCCCTATAGAACTATAATACCACTATTCAATACCACTACTCCTACAATATGAATTCCTAAATAAAGGTATTTTTTATTTGCTTTTATGCAGGCATCTTCTTTACCCTCACTACACATCCTCTTCACCACATCACACCCTTCTGTCAACAACTTCATATTGAACTGAAACCACATTTCCCAATTAGGTCTTTTGTACTTTTCCCATATCTGTTGATCTTATTCATTCCTTATTAATTCTAGACAGTCCATCCAGGATTACAGAAGGGGACATAATGCACGCCATACAAGTGTAGCAAGAATGCATGCAATATGAATTGGCCCCTAGAATGGAGATAAAAGATCTTGGTCCCAGCTGTAACAGGAGACATGTCAGACATTCCCTGCCAAGAGTCGGGAGGTGATGAGCGGGCGGGGCTGGGGGGAGGGGGGGAGGGGGGGAGGCACTCAGAGCTTTTTTCTGGTACATAAAACTGACTTGTGGAAAAGCATGTCTGGGTGGCAGAGCTATTACAGATACCATCCTCTTTATGTGTCTGCTGAAGGTTCTGTACTTAAGACATTTATCACTTTCCAAACCTATTTTTATGGACTGAGTAAAGTTGATGAGTGATGATTTACATTATCTTATAAAATAGTTAAAGGCCCTGTATGATATTGCAGTATGATGCCACCTGTTGACAAACTACTGCCAAGCCAGCACTTTATTTACTATTTACTTCATATTCATTAATTTATTATTTTTTTGTCAAGTACATGTGTGACTAAAATAGTTTTGCATGTATCTGAACCCATGAAAAGCTAGTTTACATTTGTAACATATTTAAACATTTACTTGACTGAAAATTCAAAGATTGTATCATAATGTCAGATATGAATTTTAGTTTTTGGACCTTCACATCGCTTTTTCTACTCAAGTACTGCCAGAGACACTGTTCTCGCACACTGACATACTCCCAAATAGGCTACATAATTTATGCTTTTTATCCTGATAACATTGCTTTTAAGAGTAAAAACACAAAGCCATAACAAAGTCCAGATGGAACCAATCCACCACTGGTTGAATAACTGCCTTGGCTTTCTCCCTGCACAGAATCAGATTCTGAC